TGAAAAGACCCCCTACGCCCGGCAGTAGCGAGCATGAGTTATGGAGGTTGAGTAGAGAGGCTTTGGGAGAAACCGAGTCATTGGGTCACGCTTTCAGCGCTGCCAATGTAGGCAACCTCAGATCCTGGCGAAACCGGCTCTTCAGTGTTTCCCTATTACACTGACGACAGTGAGTTGGTAGAGAATGGAGTTTATTCTGACTCAGCATACATTAGAGTACTGCCCCATAGAGTTGCCGGGGCTGTTAATCTTGGGAACTGATTTACAGGGAGACAGGCTGCAATAGTTTTCTCCCTCTGAGCAGCTGGTGGGTTCAAACTGCAGAAGAGGGAATTGAGTGGATTGGCAAGTAGTGCCATAAGACAAGGAGATCATTTTGGGAGGTTTTGTAACTGGCACCTGGGGAAGGCCTAAACCAGAGCACTGTTGTTGTTGTTATGTGCAGTGGAGTCTGTTCCAACTTATAGCGACCATGTACAGGGTTTCCGAGGCTGTAAATCTTTATGGGAGCAGAAAGCCTCATCTTTCTCCCGAGTAATGGCTGGTAGTTTCGAACTGCTGACCGTGATATTAGCATCCTGATTTGTAACCACTACACTACCAGAGCTCCTTAGAGCAGTGTAGTAGGAAGGAAAAAGATGGGTGAGGGAGAGGAATTTGGGATTAAAAGTCTGGGATAATTCACCGGTTTCCTGATGACAGACTGACTGGGTGCTTGGTAGAACAGGTAGAGTAGTTACAGATTGAGTTGTTGGAGGTAGATGAGTGTTCAGTTTTGTGTAAGCTGAATTGGAGGAACTTGTGGAGTATCCAAAGGCAAAATATGTAGTAGACAGTTGGTTACAAAGGTTTGGAGAGAACTCTAGGCCAGTGCTATAGAATGGAAGGTCGCTGGGATGTGGATGAAGATCTGGTAGGAAGAGTGAATGGAGTAGTGATTTCTAGTTGTTTTACAAACTTAGGAAAACTGTGGCTCATTCCAGAAATATGTACATATGCCACATATTTCACAAATCATATATACATTTTTTAGGGGTGTTTTACAGATCCTATGAAGTCCAGTGTTAAAGACGCGAAGTTTAGAGTGAAAGATACTAGGGCCAAATCTAGAATGCTGAGAGGCATCAGCATTTAATGCAGTATTTCTCAGAGCATGACCAAAGTTTACCTGTATTCCCTGGGCTAATTGTTAAAAAACACAGGTTCCTGGGAG